ATGGCACCTAACAACAACAACAAAATGAGTCAGAACCAACTCAACTGCACTTAACAACAGCAACAAGGAAGGATGGAGTCCTGGTGTGGCACTGTAGAAGAAGCACTGAACTGCTAACTGAAAGGTCGGTGGTTCAAACCACAGCCGCTCTTCAGAAACCCTATAGAGAGAGGGTTACTATGATTCAAAACCAGCTGGGCAGCGCTTAGCAACAACAATGTGGTTTCAGAGGGCAGAAGTGTTATCAGTAGGGAGAAGATCAGGGAATGCAGTATTTTATTTGGTTCAGCCAAAACCTATGCAGGGTCGCTTTGTGTCAGAACCCACTGGACAGCACTAAGAAGAAAGACAGTTAGGTGAATTTAGTAACAGAGTGACCAAGCAAAGTCCAAAAGATGCTCCAGTGGGCATCCTACAGTAACGCACATAAAAACATAGATGCATAAAATAACTTTTAGTAGAGAAAAGAAATTGCTACCAAGATTACTCAAAGGAGTGGTTGTTTTTGTTAAGCGCTGTCGAGTCGGTTTCGACTCATAGTGACCCTATATAGATATGGTTTCTGAGGTGCCACTAGTATATTTGAAGCGCCAGCCTTGCAGTTCAAACTGTCCTTTCAGTCTAGGGCTCATCCTACAGTGCTGCACGAAATATCTGGAAATAGGAAAGTTATAAACTGAATATTAAAAAGCTTTCTTTTATAAAAATAAAATCCATCAACTGGAGAAGAGCTTCCATTGGGAAATCATATAAAGTCCCATTACGTTAATGTTTCCACAGAACCTAGGGTGTGGCCCTTCACCTGCAGAACAAGGATCTCTTACATTTCAATACAATTTGTTTCCTTTGTAATCCTATGTACTTCGTTTTTTATGCATTCTGGTTGAAACACAGGCTTCAGTGAAAAGCCACAGAAAAGGCTAAAACCTCAAGAAAGTTACAGTCAAACCCAGCACTGTAATCAGTCCTAGGAAAGAATGAAGTGACTTCACAAGTCCCTTCCTACATAGAGTGGAACATGAAGTCAACATCAGTAGCCTATAGTATGCCACTTGGTTGAATTCAAATGCCAAGGGTGATCAATAAATACCGCTGTCTTCATGCATGTACACTGTCCCAACAAACTTGAAAGAGGCATATGACCAAAGAAATGACTTCTCATTTTCAGAAATGAGGAAATTGCAGATTAGAGAAACCAAACCCACTATTACTCAGCAAGTTGAGTGATACTGAAGTCCACCCTCTGAAAGCTGAGGTTCTTTACTTGTAGTTATTCCTTTTATAAAATTCACATTTGCCTCTTGAATACGTGGTGATGAAAACATTAACGTATTCATTCACATCACTCAGTTCTACCAAGTGCCCTGGTAGAACAGCGGATTATGAGAGTTGAGCTGCTAACCACAAAGTCAGCAATTCGAATCCACCAGCCCCTCCATGGGAGACAGATGAGGATTTTTGCTCACGTAAAGATTTATAGCCTCAGAAACCCCATACAGGGTCACTATGAGTCAGAAACAACTCAATGGCACACAACCACCGTTAACCACAATTCTTTAATACGTAAGAGCATTCGTTTGGCCACCATTAGCTTGTTTCTGCCATAATTAGGAAGGGGGGATTAAATATAGAATGAAATGCATAGAGACAAAAGTCTACTCTAAATAAATACCAGGGGCTGAGAGGAGAGACAGTGGGGAATTATTGCTGAAGGGTAGTCAATTTCTTTTGGGGATAATGGGTAACATTTGGAAATGGACACAGGGGACGGATAAGTATGCTGAATATATATCACCAAATTTTGCAATTAAAAGTGGTTATCATGGAAAACGTTTTGGTTATATATATATATAATTATCATAATATACACACACACACACTCACTCATATTTATATATAAAATGAGCTCACATCCCTCAAAGTTAACATTCAATCTAACTTAGGATACAAACCCACTGTGTAGGAAATTAGTAAAAACCAAATAATGTGATCATTTAAGTATAAAAGAGCTCACAGAAAAGAGGTGTGGCGTTGGTGATATTGTGCCATTGAGTCGGTTACGACTGTATAGTATTTTCAAGGCTGTAAGTCTTTACTACGGGAGCAGAGCCATGTCTTTCTCCCGCAAAGCATCTGGGAGATTCAAACTGCTGACCTTGTGGTTAGCAACCCAATGCATAACCACTACCCTATGAGGGCTCCTTAAAGAGGCATTGTTGTTGTTGTTACATACCACGGAGTCAGTTCTGACTCATAGTGACCCTGTACAGGGTTTCCGAGGCTGTAAATCTTTACGGGAGCATACAGAAGGAGTAACTGAAGTGGCAACATGGAAGACATTATATTCAGGTTGTAATCCTGGAGGGATACTATTTAAATATAGAGGAACAAAGTGAGGGAGAATGAGGGAGGGGAGGGTACTGAAAACTAGTAATACAAGTATCCATTACTATCCAAATGAGAACAGCAGGGGGTCATTGAGTATTAGTGTGGCTCTGAAGGATAAGCATTGATGGTTTAAGTTGCAAAGTCTGCAGTTTAAACTCATCAGCTACATCTCCTAGGAAACCCTTTACAAGGTTACTTTGTGTTGGAAGTAAGAAAGTGACTCCATGGCACTTAACAAGAACAACAACAATGTAAGAATAAGTAACTACCTTTGGGAACCAGATGAAGAAATACGTTTCATCAAAATAGAAATTACATATTAAGGGATAAAATGAGCAAACGCATTTTTTGACTAGATGCAGCACAAAGGTATTATATACAGGAATAAACAAACAGTCCTCATTCTGAACTTACATAATAATGCAATCATCTTTCTATGTCTAAATTCTAATGATGCCCTAGGCTTATGCTTTCTCTTTGAGGGGACAACATTCTACTAGTTAATCTTGCTATCTAAGTTCTTGACAATTATCTTCATGGAATTAATTTTTCTCAAAGCAAATTGATTCTTACTGATAATGAGTGATTCTAGCAAATCAATTGTCAGCATTATTATTCTAAGAAGAAATCTTAAACTTTCTTTCCCACCTAAGAAACAAGAGCGCTCTTGAATTTAGTCTAGTTTAATATTAAGGATCTCGTAACTTTTTCATCTACTTTTTTCTCTGTACATGAAGCACCTAGTGGAAATTATCAGGAGCAAATATATGCTTACCATAACAAATACTGTATTCAGCTACTAAGAAGGAAATTCAGTCTTCTGACATTTAGAATCTACAATAGTTAAATAATTCTCAGTATTTCTGTTGTTGTTAAGTGCCTTCAAGTTGGTTCCGACCCATAGCGACCTTGTACATGGTTTCCAAAGCTGTAAATCTTTACGGGAGCAGAAAGCCTCATCTTGCTCCTACAGAACTGCTGGTAGTTTCGAACTGCTGACTATGAGGCTATTTTGTAATTATTCTCCAGGAGGGAATGCTTCTTTACAACTACCACCCAAAATTCCAGTCTATTTCCTTCCAGTGAAGGGTATTTTATGTGGAAATATGTGGCCTACAAAAAAAACTGGAAAACTAAAAAGCTAAGTCAGCGCCCCCTTCCTGGCTACGCACTTGTGGAGTTAAGAGGAGTAGGTACTTCGATCAAAGTTATGTAACAGTAATAACCACAATGAGGTTGACCCTGACATATTTCAGCATACCAGATTTTTCCACTGCTATTCTGCACTTAATAGTGCCAAAATATGAAACTGAGAAATGTTGATCCAAGGAACCACATCAGCAGTTCAGTGTCTTAGATGGAACATGAAAACACCAATAAAAACCACAGATTTCAGCTCTGACTTCCCACAAATCTAGCATCTCTTTATAGCAGATATTTAGAACGGATGAATCAGAAACATAGAACTTGGTTATTAGGGTAGAGAAAGGGGAGAGGAAGTTAATAGTATCCATAATAGAATGCAATATCAGAGCTCATAAAGTGGTCTATTATCTCAGTCAGTTGTGGGGTTATAACTGGACCCATAAGCAACATTATGATAAACAGAGAAAAGACTGAAGCTATCAAAGATTTCATTTAACTTGAATCCACCATCAACACCTATGGAAGCAACAGTCAAGAACCCAAAGGATGTATTACAATGGGCAAATCTGCTCCAAAAGACCTCTGTTTGGTATTTAAAAAAGATGTTACCTTGAAGACTGAGTAAGCCATAGTATTTTCAATTGTCTCATGTGCATGTGAAAGCTGGACAATGAATAAGGAAGATGGATGAAGAATTGATGCATTTAAATTATGATGCTGACAGAGACTATTGAATATACTAAGGGCAGCCAGAAGAAAGGAAAAAAATCGATCTTGAAAGAAGTATAACCAGAATGCTCCTTAGAAGGGAGAATGACGACTTGGTCTCATGTACACTGAACACGTATGTTATGATAAGGGACCAGTTCCCAGAGAAAGACATCATGCTCGATAAAATGGAATCAGCGAAACAAGGAAGACCCTGAAAACAAGACAGACTGACACTGTGGCTGTAACAATGAACTCAAAACACAGCATAACAGTGATGATGACGTAGGATCAGGTAATGTTTTGTTCTGTTGTAAACAGAGTCGCTATGAGTCAGTACTAAGTTAACAACACAGTAATATTGACACTGATATCTTTCTTCCTTGAGGCCAATTCTTCTAGAAGTCTTGACACTACCTCTCCCACAACCTAAATATCTATAAACTCCCCAAAGCATCTAGGAGAATGAAATAGAGTAATAATTATAAAAGTTTTCTTGCATTCTCAAATGTAGTTTCAATTTAAGAAAGCATCTAAATTTACAAAGATCTGTTGTAGACTTTGTTTTTTAAAAAAAACTACTATGGTACCCAATAAGGAGCTCTGGTAGCGTAGTGGTTACGAATCGGGCTGTGAACCTTAAGGCCAGCAGTTCGAAACTATTAGCTGCTTCGCGGGAGAAAGATGAGGCGTTCTGCTCCCATAAAGATTTACAGCCTCGGAAACCCTGTGCAGGGTCGCTATGAGTCAGAACCTACTCGATGGCACTTAACAACAACAACAACATGGTACCCAAGCCAGGATGCTAAAGTCTGCTTCTCTCTTCCACAGCCCTGACTGGGTCTCTGACTTTTAGATAGATGTATGAGATTCTTTTATAAGCAAGTATTTGGAGGCATTATTATGTGCTATATAACTATAAAGTGATGAATGATTTTTCAGTCACATGTATCAGAATGTACACATCCTAATGAATACTGTTCTTCAAGAAGATACACATTGCTACTCAAAAAAAAAATATTGGGTCAGTCTTCAGAGCCAGTTTTGGACTTCAGAAGAGTCTTGTTATTTTTAATCACTTATCCTTTAAAAGGCCAAATCTGGTTTGTTACTACTCTTAGGAAGACAAAAAAAACAAAAAACCCACAAGAAGAAAAAAACAACTTTTGGCAGTTTAATCAGACCTACCACAAAGGATGAAATTTTGCTACCACAAACATTCAGGAAAGACTCTTAAAAGCATTTCCAAAAGAGATGTTAAAACAACTTCTTTTTGTTAGGACAAAGTCACAAGATGAAAAGGACTAGCAATCCATTCCTTTTATAATTTCCAATGGTTTCCTGTAACTATTGATCTCATTCAAAAGAAGTTACACTACATATTACCTAGTTGTATATTGGCTTGCTAAAACCAATGTAAATAATAAAGGTTTAAAAGAAAAGTGCTCTATTTCATCTCCTCTATCTTCAGTAGTATATTCTATGTGCACAAGTCCATGCAGCCATGCACGTGTGCGTGCATGCACAGACACACGCACACACACTTACCATCTGGAGCATATTTTGAGGATATTCCTAAAATGGCTGCAAGTGCAACAAAAAATGAAAAACTAGTAACAGCAAAGCAAATGAAAGTATTTTTGTGTCTCTTCTGCTTTTGGTTTTCTCTCTGGACTTGCTGTTCTTCAGGTGAGAATGCAAAGGTTGCCCGGGGTTCTTGTCTCATGGAGGTAAATTTGGCTGAAGCTTGGCTCTTTGGAGGAGGAGGAGGGCGCAATGGGACGACCTTCCCTGGAACGTAGCCAGACGAGTGATAACTGTTTCCATTCTGAGGATGCTGGAAAGCAGGGGAGCGTCCCCTGGAATCAGTGGCATTCATGATACACTGTCACTGCAAAAAAGAAAAAAAGGAAGTCAGAAAGGGGTGGACTGTAATGAGGTTTTTAAAAAAATAAAATCCATATATACCAGTACCCATTGACATAGAATCAATTCTGACACTGTTTCTAAAACAACTGGGAATGTCAAAGTAGAACAGTATTCCACAGCAGTGGGTTTCAATGGCTGAGCTTTCAAATGTAGATTACCAGGGTTTTCTTCCAAGGTGCCTCTGGGTGGATCTGAACCTCCAACCTTTCAATTTACAGTCAAGCATGTTAACCATTTAGAACACTGTAAGAAACAACTGTTGTGGGCATGGTCCATCTGTCTTCAGGAATTCATGAGAGTTCTAAACCTGGCAAACAGATTGTTGAAACAAGCAGGCTGTTTCAACACCAGGAAATTTAAATAAGAATACAGCCATTAAGACCAGGGACAAGCCATTTTGGCTTCTCTGGTGAGGGAGGGAAAATGGGATGGTCCATAGAATTGTATATGTGGAACTGGAACTGAAGGAAGGACTTTTTGGAGACAAGAATAAAAACCATTTGTGGCGGATCATGTGGTGCGTCTGCCCATGTGTACTGGTTTGGGCACCCGATTTTGCAAAATTGAAAAAGAAAACCTCACTCTCACTAAAATGAGTACAGATTGGATTACTTGAGCGTTAGACAATGTTTCTCACAATCATCTTCCCCAGGGATTCACAAGTTATTGTATTATCCCTCATGTAATAAAATATGTTGAAAATCACCTTCACTAATCAACTTCTAATGCCACTTCGTTTCAACTCTGGCCTCACATTATAATCACCTGCACATGCCATATCTGAAAGCCAATCAAAATCTCAGATTTTAAATACTCCAAAAGGGATTCTAATGAGTACCTAGGCTGAGAACTACTGCTTATGCTGGCTGGTCCAATATTTGTGTATAAGAATTGTTGTTAAATGCTGTCAAGTTGGTTGCAACACTGTATAGGGTTTCCGAGGAGCGACTGATGAGTTTGAACCGCCGACCTTGTGATTCAAACCAACCTTGTAGTTCAGTGATTATGCTACAATGCCACACCAGGACTACAGGATAAGAATCTATGTCATTCTTAAAGAAAGACCAGCAGGAAAAATCAAAAGCAATAACAACAGCTGTCTGAATGACAAGAACAAGCAAGTCTTTTGGCCAGGAGCCATCAAGTCAAGTGGTCAGGCCCCTCAGGACAAACCCCCTTCCAAGACTAAGCTTCAAGGGGAATAAAAGAGCATTCATGTGGTCTTGCTGCAGAGCATGTTGGTCACCAATTAGAAGAAGTTAAGGGAAAAATAGCAATGAAGTTGAAAGCTAAATCCAACCACGTTCAATAGACTCCTGTGAACCCAGGTTGAGACCTGGTTGGCCAGCAGTATAGCAAGACCTGGGGACTCCTGTGCCCAGAGACAGTGACATGGCCACAGAGGACAAGAGTGGAAAGTGTTCAGCTGATATGAAGTGAGGGCATATGCAGATAGTACCCACTTGACCTGGCTTCAATGGCTGGATGACCAGAACTCAAAAAGAAGAAAGAAGAGGAAAAAAGGAGTAATCTGCTTGTGAAAGTAGCAGCTCAAAAGAGGGAACAAATCTTTACAGCGAGGATCACTCCCACCTCCTAGGTATACAGGGTTGACAGGAATGGGCTACTTATACAAAGGCTACCCAAAATGGGGAGGGGGGGAGGTGCCTACAAAGGCAAGAAGTGACTGGTTTTACAAGCTTTCAAGAGAGAGCCTAATTTCAGAGGGTACAGGGGAAGGCAGAATTTTCACTGAGTGGTTTCCAACCTGTCTGGACTGGACGGGGCTGGTGAAAGGAGATGGGGATAAGACTCTTGTGGTTCAATAGTGAATAATTGCTATCAGGACTGATTGTGAGTGTTGCAAATGTAAAGGTAGACATTTTGTCAGAAAAGGAGGGGTGTGGCTGATCTTGCAGTCCAGGAGCGGAGGACCCTGAAACCATCAAGGGAGAAGATTGGAGTGCGGGGGCCCTATTCAGAGAAGCAGCTATGCCAGAGATGGAGGTAGAGATGATGACATGGAGAGATGGAGCTACTGGGGACTCTGGACTCAAGGAGGAAGAGGGGCTATGCGTTGACAGGCCTGCGCGGTGTACCCTTTGGCTGTTTGATGATGCATACAGGGAACTGTAATCATTGCAATGAAATGAAATAAGACAGGATGAATGTAAAGCTAATGTTCTTCCATGTAAACTATCATATAATTCACAATAAAAACTTTTAAAAAAAATTAATGCCTTTGATTTATGGTGCTGGGAAAGAATACTGAAAGCACCATGGACTGCCAGATGAATGAACAAAATCTGTCTTGGAAGAAGTTCAGTCAGAATCCTCCTTAGAAGCAAGGATGGTAAGAATTTGGCTATGTTATCAGGAAGGGCTTGCTCCTGGAGCAGGACATCTTGCTTAGAAGATGACCACAAGGAGATGGACTAGCACAGTGGCTGCAGCAAAAGCTCACACATAACAGTTGTGAAGATGGTGCAGCTCTGGGCAGTGTTGCATTCTGTCGTACAAAGAGGTCGCTCTGAGTCAAAACACCTAACAACTACTTAAGAATCACTGGTGATGTTTGCTGGGCTCTATCTCCAAGTAATCCTGATTGGTATAAAAAGGGTTCTGGACTTCATATTTTTGTTGTTGATCTGTGACGAAGGAGACCCTATGGACTCCTGGTGTGGCACTGTAGGATCAGCACTGGACTATAAATGACAAGGTTGGTGGTTCAAACCCACCCGATGCTCTTAGGAAACCCTGTACAGAGTCGCTACGAATTGGAATCAACTACATGGCATATAACAACAACATGTGTTACAGAGTAGGATTTCTCCACTGGGTTTTCTTGATCATAACCGTTAAGGAAGCCAAACCCAGTTCTTCTGTGGAGCTGCTTTATGGGTTCAAACCACCAACCTTTTGGTTCCAGTCAAGCACAAGCAATTTACACCCCCAGGGACCCTGACTTTATATTTTTTAAGCACACTGTGGTGACACTCATGCAGGGGGGGTGGTCTCAGTCTGAAAACCTGTATTTGAATCTTTGCATCTAGAAGTTTAAAAAGCCCAGGTGTCATCTGAGGCCCACAAGCTAATACTAAAAAGTTCTAATAAATGGCCATTTATGTTGAGATGCTTAACTTCCCTACTAGATTTATTTCTTAGTTAAGTAATTCAGGTTTTTATGTAAACTATCTATCTGTGCTCTCATTTACCCAGACAATGAACCTATTTGGTGAAAAAGTCTATCGCTTTAAATTCTAAAATTTTGTTTGAAAAACTATAGATATTCAAATTTTTTGTTTTAAAGTTTATATTTATAAAGCACTTACTGTCAGGAATTTTTCTAAATACCTTACATGTATTACCTTAACATGTTAATACTACCTTAATATATTTAATACAGTAAATCTTATGAGCAGGTACCCTTGTCCTCATTTTACATGAGGAAAACTGAGGTCTAGAAAGGTGAATTAACTTCTCAAAGTGCTCAGAGTTCATAATAGGGAGAACATGAAGACTTAAAGGAAGGTATTTTAATTCTAAAGTCCCGTTTACTAATTTGTCTTTTGAAAACAATTAAGAGCCATTCACATCTGTCTTAGTGGAAGTACTAGACTGGCACCCAGTTAGAAAATAAAACAAAAGATTTTATTGACGGAATAATTGCATTTCATTATGGCGCTGCGGGATAATGTGTCAGACTGCAAAGTCAGTTTGAACTGCAATGTCAGTGGTTCAAGCTCACCAGCTGCTCCTTGGACACCCTATACAGGGTCGCTATGGGTTGGAATCGACTTGACGGCACTTACAACAACAACATAGCACCTAAGGAGTGTGGCACTGTGGGTTAATGCACCACAGTGCAAAGCTGTTTGAACTGCAAAGTTGGCGGTTCAAACTCACCAGCTGCTCTTCGAAAACCCTATGCTATTGTTGTTGTGTGCCGTGGAGTCGGTTCCGACTCATAGCGACCCTGCACAGGGTTTCCGAGGCTGTAAATCTTTATGGGAGCACAACGCCTCCTCTTTCTCCCGCGGAACAGCTGGTAGTTTCCAACTGCTGACCTTGCGGTTCACAGCCCGACTCATAACCACTACGCTATCAGAGCTCCTCACAATGGATCGGAATCCACTAAGCAGCACTTAACAACAACAACAACAGCACCTAAAAATAGGTGTCCTCCCACCTAAGTGTCCTCCCTGGCAGGAGAATCAGTTAGTTTTCCTTTGTTAAAGCAGGAGAGGTTTCACAGCAAAGAAAGACGTGCAGGGCAAGGAAGGAAAACTTAGAAGGAGTTGTCAAATCACAAACCTTTTCTATTCCTAGCAAAACATTATTTCCTTCACTCCTGATATGCTTGACTACGGCTGCATTTCTAAAGCACACAATGTAAAACATTTTGATGGTGGTGGTGGTGGTGGTGGGGGTCTTGTGATTATAGAGCATGTCAGGTCAGTTCTAGTTGAGTTGGTTAGAGAGAAGAGAAGGTTGAATCAATTCTAATCTGAAGCCTTTGAATTCAAAAATGTTTACGAGTAAAGGGGAAGTGAAGATTGCTCAGGCAAGTTCCCATGGTGATCAAGAACCAAGTAGGATACACAGTCCACCAGAAAGACAATGTTTTACATCCTGCATTGATGAGTAGCAACTGGGGCCTTAAAAAGTTCAGGAGCAGCCATTTCAAGTGTAACTATTGGTCTCTCCTTGTCAAAAGGAAAGAAGAGTGATGAAAGTCACAGACAAATGGAAACAATGAGTCCAGTGGACTAATAGCACATGTGGACATCAATCTCCACAATCCCGAGACCAAAAGAACTGGATGCTCCCTGACTAACACTGCCAACTGCTCTGAAAGGGATCACATTAGAAAATCCTAGATAGACTGTGACTATATGTGGAACAAAACTCAAAATCATAAAGACCAACTTACTAGTCAAAAAGACTGATGGGACCCCCAAG